GACAATTTTAGTCAATAGCTACCAATTAATCAATATAGCTTAATTGACTCTCTCCATTGATGGCGTATAGATATCAGAGACTACAGTGTATCTTTCTACCACCTTGTCTTTCCCTACTAATAAGAAATATGAAAGTAAGATAAGTTAAAGGCAACTTAATGAGTTACTCGGCCTAAGGCATAATTGCATTTCTTTAGTTCTTTAACACTTCCGTCGAATATTTTAAAAATTAATTCAAATTTATATTAATTTATTTATTAATAATTTATTTCCATCAGCAAACTTTATATTAATAATTTTATTTTGAAAAACGCTTATTGCTCAATAATAACACAAATTTTTTAAAATTAATTTCCAAAACACACATATTTCGATTATATTCTATAATCATCTTTGGAGTACTTTTTAAAAAAGTGTCGTTTTAAAAATAAAATTGTTAATCAAAATTAAATAAAATAAATATTCATAAACAAAATATCCTTCGCTAGAGACAAAGGATATGCGTTATGAAATTTATAGAGTATTGATTTGATTTCTCGGAATGAAATTAAACAAACAGTAGAGCATAATATTAAAAGCCAGGAATGTTTAATGAATTAGAAATAAATGTTCGTATAGTGCCGATTTGAATATAATTGTAACACCTAAGTTAGAACTCACTCATTTTAAGATTTATGAAAAAAAAGAATAAGAAAATAATATCAGACCAGATAAATCGCCCGTTTCTTTAATTAATTAGGCTCTCTCTCTCTCTCTCTCTCACACACACAGGTACTTTTGAAATTTGTATCTGCACTAATTAAATTGTTATTATTGTTTACTAGTATTATTTGGCCACATACCTATCTAACCTATCAGCTAAGTTATCGTGGAAACAAAATTTTTAATAGGTTTATGTTTTTTAAAGTCTTTTTTTTAATAAAAATAAAATTGACATAACACCCCACTTAACACCATTAACATAACATTTTTCGAAATTATATTAACTAATCTTACTTCATATTAAGAAACCATAAATTAAGCATTTATTTAAAAAATTGACGTATATTGAGACTCTGATTCATTAAAATGTTTTTACAATTTTTACTTTGTTAATATACACATTCATTATATATCTTACTATCATTTTACTCCGAAGTTTAAAAAAATTACTAAGTATGTAATGTAAGCAAGAACATGTACTTACTTGTACTCAGGTGAGGGACATCCCTGAGCGACACAAAGTAGCACAGCTCCTTCATCCTGTGATACTTGTACATGTGCCGTATGCTCAACAACGCTAGGTGATATGATACCACGATGAGCTAAAAATGAAATATTTATTATTTTTCATGTTAAAATATGTTAAAATTCAATTTAAAATATTTAACATTTTATTATTATATTTAAAAGTTCAATTTTAAATATTTTAATGATATGGTATAGAGTTACAGAAAGGATCGTATTATAAATCTTTTTTTAGAATAGCAAAATATTATTATGATATGAGTTCCTACGTAATTGCAAAAACTACAAGCGCAAGCCTGATGGAAAGCACTTTCTCGACACCGCTCTTTACGATAAAGCCAAATCGTCGATGAGTACCCTCTAACACTCCCCCGACGGGATCTAACCCGGTTATATAACTCGCCCCCTGACGTCTCCTATCCTAGCACCCTTCATGCAGACATTGTTCAAATTATGCACTTAGATCCCTCTCCCCAACTCCTCACACTATACTCGTACTTGGATGAGCGGAATTCGGATCCTTCTATATAATCCTCTCCCTCTATAACCGTGACACTTGAGATCCCGATTAGAAAGTTTACCACTAATCCACCCCTCGCACTTACGTAATAGCCCCTTCCTATTGAGCAACTTCTCATCTACCTGCGTCACGTGTGGTACATATCCTGTGTTGTTTCAATATGAAGTTCAAAAATATAGCTCATAACTGATATAACTTTTTATATATGTGAAAGCAGACCAGAGAAGAGTAAAAAATACAATTAAATAAAAATTCATAAAGATTGTCCAATCTTTTTAACTATAATAACATACCAGACAATAGCAAACTATATATTTCAATAATTATTCTCAAAGCTCCTACAATCTTTTTAACTATTATTAATAAATATACTACTATATAGTATGTTTCAAAATTGGATTTATTTTTAAAATTTTTAATTATATAAGTATTTATTTAAGTTTTGTTGTTGCTATTAAGTTTGAAATACTACTTAATAATCAAACCATCTCAAAAAATCCCAAAACTCTACTAATAACCTAAAATCATATTTCTTAGCAGTTCGCATTTAAAAGGATAACCCTTAAACTATACTCCAACATATTTAAATTTTATATATAGAATGTAAGGATGTCTTAAGTAAATTGCTCAAATTTCCGTAGCTAAATTTGTGTAACAAAAGTAAAATTTAAACTGGTGAAATCCTAAAAGTACTTTCCATGTTTTTCCATATACTTACAATTTATCCGGAGGCGTGTGGGTGAACTAACAACTACTTGACGTGTTAAACGGTGCATGCTACGACAGCGAAACGATTGCGATTCGTCACTTTCCTGCAGGTTATGAATAAGTAATTCTCCGGTGGGTAATAAATGAAATTTTCCATCTAAAATGTATAAACAACAATTAGGCTACTTGATAAAAGGATATGCTTATGAATAACGCTAAGGATATTTTAATACTACACGTACTATAAGACTTATGCCTTACAGTAGAGGTTATTAATTTTAAATCTACTGTGAGAGGGTAAACTTATCAAGTTAAATATTCTCTTTCCAGTTAAATGGAAAAGCAAACAATTTCTATATGATTTATTTAAACAAAACAACAAAAAGAAACGCATTTATAGTAAATAAGAAAAACTTAAAATGCCAAAGGACAATGTTAATTAATCATCAAATTTTATGTACATATGAGACCATACAAGCATATATACGTATGCATTGACGTTGACTACTCGGAGAAAATTTCATTTGTTTTAGAACGGATTTATAAAGATTTATATTTGTACTAATAAACAATGAATGTCGTATATACATATATATATGTTATATATATATATTTGTAAACAACACTCACATAGGAGTATGTCTATCATATATATAGATATATCCACAGCATCTAAAAATATATATATCTTCTCCCTAGTAGCGCAAATATTATTTTATAATATTTATACAATGTTGCATATGTGCACATCTGTGAATTTATACGTACCTCCTTGCAATGATGGATAAATGTAGATAGCAGGTTCATGAACCCATGAGACCACTCGCACCAATTCCTTAACAAATGTCGGCACTACACAACGTAAAATGGCTGTGCAACCTCTAGATGCAGATAAAACCTCGACGTCCACTTTATAAGCTTGTGCAACGACTGCAACAAAATAAAAAAAAACACAAAAAACAAAATTAAAAACTTTACAAATAACTGCAATTTTGCTGTTACATCTATATAAACATCTATATAAATATATATATATATATGCAAGTATATATAAGATTTATTTATATATGTATAAATATATTTACAGAAGAGCTTGTAATTTTATTTTTTTTTTTTGTAATTATTCATGTTAAGTATAAGAATTAGTTATTTTATTTTTTAAATTAAAATCCCTGACAATGACAACCACTTCTTTAACCTTAAAACGGATCAATGGAAGAACACTTAAGGGACAAAAGCAAAAATTTCATATTTAAATAAAATTTAATAAAACTGATTTGTTGTTTAAATGTAAAATAAATGTAATAATCCTAAGTTTACAAAAAAATATTAAGTTTGATTTAATCTCTGCAATAACAAACTAAAAATTAGTCCGCTTTTTTGAAACACTTGTTAATACTTCGAAAAACTGCGCACGGGTCTGCATAAATTTAAACAAAAATATTTGTTTGTAAAATCCTTTTTTGTAAACTAAATAAAAGTTTTAATTAAAATAAGCAAAACTTTATAAGTCCTTTTTGAAACGTTTTTGCGGCAAAGGATTAATTTACTTGTATTAAATTACATTTACAAAATTTTATCTTTAAACGAGTATTCAATAATTTGCTCCGAGAAAAAAGCATTTTGCTTCACATAACTTTCAAAATTTTATTATGGAAACAATAGTAATTTTAAAATTAAAATTACATATTTAGAAATTAGTTTTAAAATTTTATAAAATTATTGAAATATTTCTAAGAGTTTTTGTGAATATGCAGAATAAATTTACATATTTTATAACCGAAAGTTATGAGAAGTTATGCCAGCAGGAGTACGAGGAGTTCGTATGAGAAAAAGACAAAATCTTTTATTTAGATTTTTATTATATTATATCCTCATACATATGGTAAATGTTTTAAAAGTATAAATTGTACAATAAAAACTTAAATAAAATAAGAAATATGACATAATTTATCTAAATAAAAGTTTCAGTAAGTTGGAATCAATGTATCTAGTTTAGTAGTTGCCTAGAATAATGGTCGAAAAACTAAGACATAATTTTGTAGTTCATATAAGATGTAGTATTGATTCGAAGTCAATTTATTTGATAAAAGATATAGTATTTGATATAAGATATAGTATTGATTCGGATTCAATATATTTCTTAAAATAGGAAATTTAGAATCTTAATAAAATCGATTAGTGAGTTCAGTATTCGAATAGTTAGGTCTTTATATTTTTATTTACTACATAATTAATGCATTTATCACATTTATTATTCATTTTAGAGTATTTCACAATACTGGAGTTATAGATATATTCTAGAGTGTTAGAAATCCATATTTTATTATAGTAATTTTGTTTTTTGATTATTGTTTATATTCTTTTGCTAAATATTAACATATTAACTCCTGCACAACTTTTTCACTTTTGAGTTTTTGTCAATATTATCAACACACTACAATTAAATATTACCACGGACCGGTTTGGGCCCCAAATTTAAGATGTATTTAGTGATATTAACAAAATGTTTATTAAAGTGATAATAATTGTAAAATATGCCGCACGAACTAAATAAGATACCATCGCTTTGGACGGAAATTTGAGGTATGTCCACCATTACGTTCTACAGAGGATAACGGAGACACACAGGTTGATATAAAAAGTTCGATTTAGTACAAAGATGAATCAAAAATGAATGGGGACACGGGAGCTGGTGTAACAACATGGACCTAACATAAAAATTTCGCAGGCAATTGAATATGTTCGAATGACTTCCAAACTGAAATTTACGTTATCAACTTATGCATAAGATTCAACATCATTAAAAAATCGGCTGCCTTAACAATTGTTATTTATACTGACAATCAGGCAGCTCTTAAAGTTCTGACTTATTGGACATTCAAGTCAAAACAAATCCCCGATTGCTATGAGCTCCTATAGGTACTTGCAAGTTGGAATAAAGAAATTCATTATTCGGATGCGGGTCGCAGGGGGGCTTTGGATAACGAGCTAGCTGATGAACTAGACAGAAATGCATCAAAAATCGCTTTTATATGACTCAACCCTTTTGTGGGTTAAATCAGTATAAAGCAAATAATTAGGAAAAAGGAGAATCGTTTACATCTGGTGTACTGGAAAGATTTCCCTGAACTCAAACAATGCAAAACTGTGATTAAACCGAATTTTTTTTTAAGAACTTGGAAACTAGAATAAAGTTTCCCTTCTAAGAGAATGTTTAAAGCACATATATACTGTTAAATATAAAAGACTACGTATGGATGCAACGGGGGTTGGCAGCTAAGCTCACAGGCCCCCTAAGTTGAAATATATTATTTGTAAGGTTAATTGCTGCAATAAAATTTTATTATTAACTAAATGTTTTGATTAACCATACCAAACTATATATTTTAGCAGAGCATATTATATGTACGAGCACTGCGTATATATGGTTGACCATGTATACGAAGAATAGATCTTCCAAATGTCATTAATTTTATTTGAGCATCAATAGAGATTCTATCCTACAAACTCATGTCATTGCCAATTAGTTTAAACTATTCACAAATGTGTATTTCTACACAACCATATTACTTTGGACCACACTTTATAGTGGTATAGAGCATTTTATAAGAATATAAATTATTTATAAATATATAGTATGCGTAACTATTCAAATATATTATTTGTATGAGTTACTAAATGGTAATAAATTATTTTGTTCTCAATCAAAAGATTGGGTTAACCACACAGCTCTTTCGATCAAATAAACATTACAGGTATTTAAAAATCTTCATTGGTTTTTTTAATGTGTATATAGTCATTGCTAGACTACAATTAAAGGATTATAATAATTGATTGCGAATTCTATAAGTTGTGACCTAAAAACATGTCTTAATAAAAAAAAAATTGCAAAAGCTCTGGAAAGACATAAAAGTCTTAAAATTTGAACTACGAAAGTTTCTTACAGCTTAAACTTGTTTGGTAGGAGCCAGTAATGTCATTGTTGCTAATTCGACAGGTTAAAAGTTCTAATGGTTAAGCATTCGTTATTAAATTAATTAAAAAAGACCACTGATGGTGAATATTTGGCAATAATCGATACATATATATGGTCCACCAAAAAATTAAAAATAAAATAAAATGTTATCATTTCACTACTATTCAAAATTCCTTCTATTGGTATTTTTATTTGTTATTGTTAAAGGATGTAGCACTCCGACGTCGGGTCTATTATGCCCCCTTCTGGGTTTAGAGTAGGTCTCTAAGCCCTGTTGCGTCAATAAAAAATAATATTGAACCTACTTTACAGGGTTTTATTGCCTTTCCCGTAAGAATATATATTTTCAGGAGACTATTCCGACTCTTCATTCTTTTCAAAGAATCTACAGTTTGCATTTGTAAGTATACTCAGCCTCGTAAGGTTGTATTTTAGTTTACAGTACCCTGTCAGGAATCCTTCTATTGGTAAGATAATTGTAAGATTGTTTCGTTTCAATTAACTAAAAATTTAAATTTAAATTTTAAATTTGAATAGTTCAAAATTTACACTTTAAAAAATATAACACAAAAGGTACATGTAATAAAAATTAATATCCAATAATTATGTCAAAAATATTACATAAAATGTATTTTTAATAAAAATTAAGACCCAGTAAGCCCTACCTACATAAATTAAAATTCAAATTAAAACTAAAACAAATTGCATTATTTTGCTAAGGATTTAGTACTTAAAGTTTATAAATAATATATTGCTCTGTACATGTATTTACATTATTTACTAAAATCATTTTCCTAATAAATAAGTTATTAAAATTTTGATCATATGTAAATTAAATTTTAAACTAAGTGCAGGCTTCCTGTTACTGCAGTTCGAAGCACACAAATTAATATATTCCAATATCCGTAAGGAATATTGAAGTGCTGTCAAATTGAACACTTACGCAATAAAACTTACAACATGAATTATTTATTATTTAATTAAAATTTCAAAATCAAAATATGGTTTAATTAATATTTCAATCATTGTAAGAATAACAAAGTATTTGAACTTACCAGCACGAACTTGCACATCTCTGGAGACAATACGACCGACACTATTACTGGCAATGCAACGATAGATTGTATTGTGCACATCCTGATGATAGGCGGCAGCAGGAAATGGCAGCAGAACTAACGTACCGTTACGTAAAACGCGACGCACTCCATGAATTTCTGAGACTGCAGTGCCGTCTGCATGCACCCAGTCAATGTTCGGCTGAGGACTGCCTGAGGCAGAACAATCAAGCCAACCGCCCGAAGAGTTTGAAAATTCAACACGACCAGGCGGCTCCATAACGAAACCAGGACCACGTAAATGTGCATCAAAAACTTCCGTGATGACTGCATCTAAAAGAAACGAGCAAAGAGAATGCTTTAACAAACAGTCAGTGTAAAGATGAAACTCAAACAAATAATACAAGGACATTGTTGCTGTGTCAAAGAACTTAAAAATAAACACAAAAAATATTTATGATTTTCTTGTATTTTATGATTAAATAAGGAATTGGCAGTTTTACGCATTCGCTCGACATGCAGCCAGAAATCATATTTTATATTACCAAACGGAAATGAAATTTAAAAAATCTTTTCAGACTGCCACACTCAACTTTCTAAGTGGCTATAAAATTGTACATTAAGTTCAAGTGAAAACAAGTGCCAAAGTGCAACACTGCCGAAAACGGAAATTCTCACAAACTGCTACATAGCATCGACATAACTGATGCTACCAAGCAACAAGAGGACCTCCAACATAAGCAGCTTGAGCAGAAGCAGAATACCCGTATGTACACCAAATGGGAAATACGCGCATTGCCACTTCAGCCAAAGCAACAACATTGCACCCTCGTCCTTTGGGCAACTATTCAATGTTGGCCAAATTTGTTCACCAGCTTTTGAATTCGTAGTTCACCAAAGTTTTCTAGTGTTTTCCATGTCTTAGTTGCTACATTTATAGTTTTTTTTTCTTACTCATATTTGGATTCAAAACCAATTTATGATTGCAATTCTGTTAAACTCTTCACTTAAGAAATTGTTGCTCAACTAAGCTTCTTTTGTTTTGCCAAGCAAAGAATGTTTCAGATTCAAAATTATGGCAGCAATCTCGAAGTATCAGGCAAAGAAAATGGGTTTTGAAATAAATCAATCAAATTTTTAATGAGAAATTCAGGTTTAGAATTAACCATAATTATGCTTTACACCATCAACGTAAGATTTATTATTGTGATTGCAGTCATAATTTCCCGAACATTGAATCTACGTGCCACTGTGTCCATTGTTAGACTAATGTATATTGTCCTTTATGTAGCCCGAGTTTTCTGATATAGTCAGTGAAGGATTTCTTTTTCAAAAAGAACTTAGTTTTTTCTATATCAATTTTTGACCACGCTGATTCGTATACCAATTCACTGCATCCATTATTAGACTGATGTACCTTTATATAATCCAAGTTTTCTGATATAGTCAATGAAGGATTTCTTTTTCAAAAAGAACTTAATTTTTTCTATATCAATTTTTGGCCACGCTGATTCGTATACCAATTCGCTGCATCCATTATTAGACTGATGTATCTAGCCCTTTATATAATCCAAGTTTTCTGATATAGTCAGTGAAGGATTTTTCAAAAAGAACTTAGTTTTATCTATATCAATTTTTGACCACGCTGATTCGTAGATCAATTTCTTTTGAAATACTTTTCTGCTTTAATATAAAATTGTTGAAAATGTAACAAGAATATATAAGACTTCTATGCTTTCCATGCAGATTTTGCATTCAAGAGTTTCTAATAATTTTAACCACATTTCATTCTATTCAAAAGACAATAGCAATTATGACACTAACTATTTCAAAATCTGGCCTGTTTAAATTTGATAGGTATGTGTTCTTTTTCTCAACTACTTTGAAAGGAAGAGCTTGATTTAGCGGGATAGTCCAGTTATAAAATCCAGGTATAGTCCAGTTAAGCTAAGCTTAATGACACTTTTTGCTGATTTTTGCTAAATTGATTGTGATTCGTATGGTGAGCTTGAAGCAACTAATTCAGTCTATT